ACACTAAGGCTAATGAGGAGGTGCGCCCCCATGAGAACCACACTTTTTTTTTAATCAGAGTTGGTAGCAAAAGGACCTGGGTTTGGTTGGCCCCATGCTACTGTTTTCCTCTGATACCAACAGAAAACAATGGGTAACGGGATAAATGAAAAAGCGGTATTAGACTCGGATAGCTCCAAGACATGCCTTACTCAGTGAGTCCCAATGCCTATGACACAGTGCTCTTAGAGAAGCCATTCCCAGGTAAGTTTTATAATTATATCTAGGGAACATCTGTATTGTGATTGGCTTTAGCACCTGTCCACACTTGCTTATCACTACTTTACCTTCAAGTGGACCTCATATGCCAGACTTTCCGCTGACAACTCTCTAATTTGGAATTCATAGCATTTATGTGTTAATTGTATATTTTCTATTACTTCCTTTTTAATGTAGGCAGAGCCATGTATTTATGGCTTTAATATGCTCTGTTCCTCATTAACTTCAGTGAAAAACCAAGTTTATTTAAAGGGAAATACTAAGGGAATAACAGTTCATGATATTGTCAAAATCACAACAGCAGTATCATTATTAGAACAAAAAATTCAGTTAGCCCTTATTTAATGAGCTTCCCACATGCAATAAAACGTGGCATTTGACATTGCAGCAAAAAGCTGCAGTGAAAAGAGCAGTTTTGCAAGTTGCAGTTTTCTCATTTATGAACAGTATTACTTTGGCAAGTCTGTGCTTTCCATGCCTCAGTTTGCTTGTCTGTAAGTACAGTGATGATAACAGTAATGCTGCCTCTGTCACAGACCTGTGGTCAAGTACAAGAGAAAAAAATCAGAAACTGTATTTTTAAAAGGTTTTCAAGAAATTTAATTGCCAGAGGGCACCTAAAAGGCTGGGTCGGTTAAGCATCAGACTATTGATTTCAACTTAGGTCATGATCTAGACCAAGCTCCATGATGGACTCTGTGCTCAGTGGGGAGTCTGCTTGGGACTCTCTCTCTCCTTCTGTCCCTTTCCCCACTCGCACATTTGTGCACATTCCCTCTCTCTCTTTCTGTAAAATAAATCTTAAAAAAAAAAAAAACTTTAATTGCTGGGGAAAATGTCACTTGTTATTATGTCAATTTCTAGGATCCTACCTCACAAACTGGTAGGAGGGAGCTTGCAAGATCCACGTGGGGATTTATCTACCTCTTACATGTTTTAGGACTCGATAGTCATGATAGCAATTTGGGTTTTATTCTTTTCAAATATTCCAGAGAAGCAAATTTTGAGTATTTTATCCAGGTTTGAAATGAACCTGTTTTGCAAGGAGCAAAGTTCAGTGAAAGAAATAACATGGTGAGGGAAGTTTCTGCAGAAAAACGATCACCCAAGTTTTTTTCTATGGGGTTTTGACATGCAAACTGAAATCTGAATGATGGATAAGAGACAATCATAAAAAAGAAGGGAAAAAAAGAAAAAAACAAAGGAAGGAGTATTTATATAAAGGAACAGCATTTGCAAAGGGTAGAAGGGGGTTGCTATTTCCTGGAGCAAAAGATGGCAGGAGCCTGGTAGACAGAAGGGAGAATGGAATGGGATGGGAACGGGGAGGTATTCAAGAGCCAGATCATCTAGGGCTTTGCAGGTCATGGTAAGGGCCTTGGGTTTTATTCTAAGCATTGGGATGCCATTAGGAAGGTTTTAAAAGATGGTTCATGGAGCACTGGGTGTGGTGCATAAACAATGGATTCTGGTACACTGAAAAGAAATTTAAAAAATAAAAAATTTTAAAAAAAAATAAAAGATGGTTCAGTCTTCGGTATTAACTTTGAATGGCTGGGCTGCTCAGAAAAAGCAGTGTGGGAGATATCATAGAAGTCTGGGCGAGGGCGCATGGTCTGTCAGCTGGAATGTGGCTGCTCCATGAAGCCTGCCTGACTTCCCCCAACTCTGCCCTGGTCCTCAAAGCCCCCTCCTTCCCCAACACCTCACTCAGATGACTCCTGCCATGCATGAGCACTGTTCTGGATCATTCTGAACAGCCCCACCACCCAAGTTCTTGACTTAGAACCATATCTTATTCAGTCTTTGAATTGCCCACAAAACTGACTTTCGTGTTTCCCATCTAATAAATGTCCCGGAAATATTTTTGAAATAAGTTAATACACTAGCAGTGATTTCAGCAGTCCCTGCGTTCTAGAATCACCTAGGGAAGATTAAAATGTGGATGCCAGGCCACACCTCCAGAGATTCTGACTCATGTGGTTTGGAGTATTTGTTGTAAAAACTCCCAGATGATTCTGGTGTGCGGTTGGAGGGGAGACCCAGGGAACCAGGCTGGTTCTGAGTGGTCTTAGCTGGGAGTACCATGCTTACCCTGCCTCCTTTAAATGCCTGTATGTTTCCCTTGGCATCGTGAACATTAAAGGCATGACAGAAATGCCCTGGTTATCTGCCTTTTAAAGTTATTCAAAATAGTGACTACAGAGTCTTGCATTGATGGAGTTGGACAGAGAGCACTCCAATATTACCGATGCAGGGTATGCTATCAATCAGCTGGCCTTTGGAGGGAGAAGAAAGATTCCTGATTTTCACTGAAGGTCCAGAATTTGAGTGACATATTTTTTTTTATCAGCTTTGGACCCCAGAAGCACCAAAACAACAAAGGGGATAAAACAGGGCTCCTTCAAGCACAGAACTCAGAAAGTCTGGCAATGGTGTGTTTCTGTGGTTGTTTTGATTTCAAGAAGGGGAAAGTCTTTATTTAACTCTATATAATGTGTATATAATAATATAATTTTAAGGCACCTGCTTCAAAATAGAAACTGGGATGTTGGAGATAATAACAATAAACAAAAATTAAACCAAACCGGGCTCGGTGCCCAGGAAAACTACCGAGATTCCAAGAACTGGGCAAAGAATAAGCAAGCAGAGAGAATGAGTCAGGCATGTCTGAGCTGTAAGTGCCTCGTGGAAAATGACCACTGACCGCTCTGCGGCGTGGTTCTTGTTAGCAGTTCTGTGGGGCATTTGCATGTGGGTGAGGTTCCTGCCCTTCTCGTTTCAGTGACAGACTTCCAGGGAACTTGCTTTGCTAAAATGTCAATCCTAAACATGCCAGTAATTACAGTGATCCTGCATTGAGTTCGAGTTTTTATAATGCTATGAACCACTTGGAAATAAGTGGACCAGAAGTAAAAATAGGCGTTCATAACGACTTTAAAGCTAAAAGGAAAGCCTTCATGTTTCCCAGGATGCCTCAGTGTCATGTAATTTACATAAACAAAGGAGGAAATCCTCTTTGTGTGTTTAGGGGTGTGTGTCTAATACAGGAACCCATGTTTTCCTGTTATTGAAAAGAATTCTTTAATCTTTTCAGCACATTTTAGGACCTGCCTGTATTCCAGGTATGTTGTTTCCTCTACCATGAAAACAGAAGAGCAGGGCATGGGTGTCAGAGAAACCTATTAGATCTTCTAAGAGACACCTGAAATAAATGCATTAAGTTAAATGGCTAGACAGAGCCCTGTGCAGACTGATACTGTTGCCTGAATTTAGTTCGGAGAATGGTTATTCCTAAGAGGACTTAACGGACTTACACACGGAGCCGTGAGCCAGACAGGCTGCATGTGAATAGGAGACTATAAAATTTCCACTGATCGCGGGTGTTAAGGAGATGATGACTTTTTAACCATGAAAGTAAACGCAATTGGTATGAGATGTTCAGAAGCTTTTAGCCAAATATAGCTGACATAAAAAGTAATAAACCTAAGCATTATTTGAAATTATGTTTTAAATGTTTGCTAAATTCTGGTTTGGAGCAAAGAGAGAAAAGTGTCATAAAAAGAGGTCTTTAGTCTTGGAAGCATAGGGCTCTCAGCGGAGGCAAAGGCAAGGCACCCACATCTCATTCCGCTCTCGGTCCCTGCGTTCCTGCTCTAATGACCTGAAACTGCCCTAAATTCTCCTTTGTGTGAGGGAGAGTCTTCTTACCAGCAACCATGACTGGAGTAGATAGATGCTTTCTGTCCTTCATCCCTCAAGGATTCTTTTTGCCATCTGTTGAACATCACATGGTTATCTGAAATGTAGGACCTGCGGGGTTTCTGGAAACAAAGAATGTGCCGCCGACGCACAAGCTCATTGGGATCACATTCATTACAAGTAGTACTTTCCACTTTTTCTAATTCCCTTGGTAGCATCCTTTCTGTGAAGTTTTACAACTCCTACAGCCAGGCCTCAGGAGGTTTCAGGAAAGCCCTTTGAAAACCCTCACTTACCGCCCCGCCCTGGAGGCTCTAAGTCACGAAGTAAGCAGACATAGAAACATCCAGAGTGACTCTCTCCTAGTGGCTGGCGCTTGGCCTCTGTCTGAGAGGCGACAGTGTCCATCCTCAGCAAAGGAAGAACTGAGTAAGGCTGGGAGAAGGAGCTGTCTCGGCCCTGCAGGTGTGGGGACCTCAGAAATTTGGGAGGGGGGCGGTGTGGGAATGCCAAATACAGTCAGAAACAGAGGCACACTAGATGGAAACTGGACCATAGTTTAAAGCCAAATCATCATTTTTAAGTGAGGCGTTACTCCATATCTTACCAGTGAAGCCTGATACATTTACACTGGCCTATCCCCTTCAAAATACGCGTTGCAGTTTCCGAGGGCAGCCAGTAACCTCTGCTTCCTTTCAAATGCAGCTTTCCCCAGTACCTCTACCGGATGCCCACCAACCCGGCATGTTGCTTTCCCTGCAGCTGGTCATCATGCCCTTGTGGCCTCCTTTAAAAGTGCTTGGTGTTCCTCGGTTGAGTTGTGTTTAGTCTGAATGAGTGAGGACATAAATGAAGCAGCCTTTGCAACTATAATTATATTGTAACTGCGTGAGAGTGGAGGATATCACTATTTCTTTTGCGTTCACCCCTCATCAAAGGCACACATGTTCTGTGTGTGTGTGTGTGTGTGTGTGTACACGTAGGTGTAATGAGAAAACCAATCTGCACGCCCACTAATGGGAGTGGTCTTTTCTTGGCAGTGACCAACAAGAAACCCACCCAGGCATCCATCACGAAGGTCAAACAGTTTGAAGGCTCCACATCGTTCGTGCGGAGGTCCCAGTGGATGCTTGAGCAGCTTCGCCAGGTTAATGGCATCGATCCTAATCGGGTGAGTGAATGCCCCGTGTTGAGCGAAGGTGTTCTCACACAGTGACTCGCTGGCCGTGGCAGTGGTGGTGGTTGTCTGAGTCATCTCTAACAAAGCTGTTTCTCTGTTTCGGTGATGTGGCTAAGACTTTCTGATTTCTGCGTCCTCGTGGGGCACTACAAGTCTTTTCATCATGTTTGATGCAGAAACGTAAGGGGACGCATACTGAAGAAATAAATGCTGTCTGCTGTATGCTTATCAGCCAAGTGCAAAGGGCAGAGTTCAGATACCACGTCCATGGTTATTAATATGAAAAACCATGTTCATCAAAGCTTCATTTAACTCCTCATAACACCAATAATGAGGTTTGTTTGTTTTTTTTTTTCACCAAAACAACAAATAGATGGCACCTTACAAATTAGGTATTTGGATTTAACATGAGAAACACTTTAAGGTAGAATTATTTATTTAAGTACTTTGCCTTTTGCTCACACACACTCACTATACAAAACCTCAATAATGAGGAAAAATAAAATGTAAATTGTAACTATATGCTAAAATAATAATAATAAGGGAGAATCTTTTCCTTACCGAGGGGTAGGAGCGATATCAATTGATAGGGCTGAGAACCTGGAGGAATCCTTTTGCAGGTCATTGGGAAGGCAGCATGTAGTCTAAATTCTGCCAGATGCATGTGTGGTACGCGGCGGGGGCTTTTGTGATACTAGCCTGGGGACATCTTTAAATACTCTTAAGATTTGGGGGTTTGCTTGATAAACAGAGGAAAGGAAGATGGACCTTCTTCCCACACATCTAGGTGCAAATAAAGATGAGCCTTGTGATTAAGAGCCAAGTTTTGAAAGGTGTTTTTGCCTTTACGAGTCTTTTGTCAGGAGTGAGCTGAAGGCAGCCGTTTTTATGGATTGAGATCAGTAGTTATCTCTCTGTCTTTTCCAGGATTCTGCAGAGTTTGACTTGTTGTTTGAAAATGCATTTGACCAGTGGGTAGCCAGCACAGCCTCTGAAAAGTGCACCTTCTTCCAGATCCTCCACCACACCTGCCAGAGGTACCTCACGGACAGGAAGCCGGAGTTCATTAACTGCCAGTCCAAAATCATGGGAGGTGAGTGGGCACGTGTAGGGCTCTGCTCAGCCTGTCTCCTCAGACTCACTTTTACATAAAAACTTAGGTGTTCTACAGCATAATTAAAGACCAAAAAAAAGAATCAGGATGCTCAGAGCTAGGCAGCATGAGAACCATTCTAGGGAGCTCTTCGCGTGCTAAACCCAGACACAGTGGTGTGTTTCACTCTTCACCAAAAGCCAGTCTTTTTAGAAGAATCAGCCACTTAGCTAAGATGACTTATACTAGGAGAACTAACCTGCCCCTTTATTGGGAAAACCTTTCAGTTTGGTTTCTTTACCCACCATTCCTGTAATTTCATTGCAGAACACTGTTTTCTAGGCTGTTTTTTTCCTATGAGTTCTCAAGGTATTTTACAAATATTAACCCACAAACTCTTACAGATGTAGTCCCCTTTCTTTCAAATAGCAGCTAGCATTCCGTTTATCCCTCGGATGGCGTACAGAGCAGAGTGAGGCTGAGCGCTCTAAGCCAGCCTTGAGGGGTGAGGACCAGTGTTGGCAACTTAAGGAGAAACATTTAGAGGGTGCTTAACACATTTCTTTTAGGTGGCATTTCTTTTTAGGGAATCGAAACTGAGCTAAAAATGTTTTTAAGAAGCCTTGTCAATCACTCTGTGAGTTGAGGAAGAGCATTTTTATGATTGCTCTTTTCACTGACCTATTCTCCTGGTTTGAGGGGAAAAAAAAAAATTATGCACCAACTTGGTTTTAATCAAATGTCAAATGAAGGTCACATTATAGACATTTCATCTTCTCTTTGGCCTGTACGTGTCTTTCGTATGAACATGGCACGGAACCCATTGTTCCATGCTAGCCCCTGACGTACATGGTGCCATTTTGCCACTAGTCTGCTAGATGTCTTTAGAGAAGACACTAGCCAGTGCTTTGTTGTTATCTCCCAATGTGTTGGTGTTCCTCTTGAATAGGGGGTTGCTTGCATCCTAAGAACATAGAAAGGTCTTCCTTAGGCGTCAATGCAATATTTTATTACAGCTTCTCCATTTATCCTCAAAAAATGTTGATGAGTAGTGCATATTGTGTTCCAGTGGCCACATCCTGCACACAAAAGTAAAAACTATTAGACGAGGGCGCCTGGGTGGCTCAGTGGGTTAAAGCCTCTGCCTTCGGCTCAGGTCGTGATCCCAGGGTCCTGGGATCGAGCCCCGCATCGGGCTCTCTGCTCAGCAGCAAGCCTGCTTTCCCCTCTCTCTCTCTGCCTGCCTCTCTTCCTGCTTGTGATCTCTCTCTCTCTTTGTCAAATAAATAAATAAAATCTTAAAAAAAAAAAAAACTATTAGATGTAGATGTTGAAAGGAATGAGATCATCTAACACTGACCTCCTACTGTTGAGAAAATAGAGTGAGCTACTGCTCGCTATCCTGTCTGTGGCCCTGGCGTGCTTCACACGGACCCCACGTGAGAAGCCCAGCTGTAGCAGACCTGGCAGGTCAGCGCGCACCAGGCTCAGGACCACAGAGGACGGAGTATTTCAGTGACTGCAAAATGGGCCAGGAAATCCCAGCTTTCCCTCATTCTTCATTAGGTTAAGTTTGTCTCTGCTATCCTAGAATCAGACTTGCTTCTTGATCTCAGGGTCCTCCCAAAATGTTTTTCCACTGGTGTCCGTATGGTCTGTAGCCTCCACGGAGAGCACGTAAGCAGAGTCTCCTCTTAAAATAAGGTAACATTATGGGTTTGAAATGTCTGTTGCCCTTGGAGAGGGACTCCCCTCATGCCTTCCCCTTCTGCGTGTGCCATCCTGAGAGCAGAGTGGCCAGAAACAGAAGCAGTGTCATGGGAATTGGCACATTTCCTCAGAAGGGGAATGTGAGGTGGAAGCAGGAGGACCACAGCCTCACTCCCTCCACTCTTCGTGAAGGAGAAAGAAGCAAGTCTTGACTTTCCTGCTAAGGTTGAGGACAGCTTTGGTAATTCCTCCCTCTCTCCTCTCACTGGGCAGTCCCTCTTCTCTCTGGCCTCTGAAGCTCACTGCTTTTCCTGCTTCATTCATTCAGTCCTGCTGCATCATCTGATTATGCAACAAAGAAGTGCTAAGTACCTGCTGTGTGCTGATCACCCTCCTACGGCCTGGATGTGGGGAATCATTCTGTGTTTGGTTCCTTAATAGACTCCGGTTTCACTACCCTTGTTCCAGACTGTTGGGTTCCTAACAGCCTTACTCTGTGCTCTTGGTTCCCTTCTTGAACGTCCTCAGACCTTCCCACAAAGCCCCACCCAGCTGCTGCTTTCAGTCCCTGACCCAGCCCTTTAGAGGTTTTCCAGTGCCGTACGTAAATTATGCAGAGCAGAGACAGGAATCCGTATACCCAATGTTAAATTGCTAGTATGTGTATTGGACAAAGCTAAAGACTGATTTCCTATAGTAAGAAAAAGAGTAAGTTAATGAGACTAAGTCCCAGAATGGGCCCTACCTTTTGTGATCGCACGCGTGTCTCTCGTGTTCCCGAGACCTCACTTTTCGTTGGTGTGACATGTGGAGATTGGCTTAGAGATCTGAAATCCGCTTCAGCTTTAATATTTTGAGAATCTCTAATGCCTAAGTTGTGTAGATGAATCACTTCCTAATTTAAGAGTCAACTAAAAGACTTAGCACAATTAAATATAGGCTGGCCTCGGACTCCTCCAAAAGGCAAAAAAGTTTGAACTAAGCACGCTGTAATTTGTTGGTGGCATATGTCCTTAATGAGCATAGCCTGTCTATTTAAACAGTTGCTGATCCTTGATAACAGTTGTACCAACACACCCTAGTTCATTAGCGTGCTGATCGGTCTTCCTTTTTGCTGCTTACCACAATTCAGTCTTCAAATTGGGTAGTGCTTGGGTCACAACATTATGACCCCTTCAACTTTGGGGGCACCTACCCCATCTTCAGCAGATGAAAGCTGTTTCACATTTCACAGTATCTTTTGGTCTGTCCTCAGAATCTGGGCCACACATCCTGGACATGAATTTTCTCTGAACTGAGAAATGTCATAGATTTTGTGGTTTTAAAGAACTAATGTTCATGTTGGTATGCTTCCTGAAGAACAGATTCTTTACATATGTTGTTTCATTTAACCTTTACCTCAGCCCTTGGAAATACAATATATTATCTCCATTTTACAGGGAAGGAAGTAGGATTGGAGAGATCATTAAATAGCTTGCCAGGCAGCTAGCAAGTGGCAGAGGTGAGATTCAAATACAGGCCCCCTCCACTCTGAAAGCATCTTCGTCAGGGCCACTGAGCGCCTGACAATGTCTTTGCTATAAATGGTGCCCCCTGAGGTTGTGCAGAAATTTGGGGGAAAAAACTAGCCAGCAGGTCCCTAGGTTTTAAAATAGGGAAATAGGGCACCTCGGTGGCTCAGTGGGTTAAAGCCTCTGCCTTTGACTCAGGTCATGATCCCAGGGTCCTGGGATCGAGCCCAGAATCGGGCTCTCTGCTCAGCGGGGAGCCTGCTTCCCTTCCTCTCTCTCTGCCTGCTTCTCTGTCTACTTGTGATCTCTGTCTATCAAATAAATAAATCTTTAAAAAACAAACAAAAAAAAAAAAAGGGGGGGGGGAATAAGGGAGGAGGCCAGAGACTATAGGGACTTTTGATTTTTTTTCCCTGGTCTTATTGTAGGTATGTTGTTAAGACAGTAAGTCTTAAGCATTGGGCAGGGCAAAGGGGTAGTCCTAAGAATGATGGAGTAATCAGGGACCTTTAAAATTATCTTGCTCTTTATTGTTTTTGTTTTTGTTCATCTGAATTTCAACATATTAAAGAGATGAACTACTTTGGTGGCTGGGGGAGATGATGGAGACCTGGCCATGCCCTGGGCCTCCCATGTCTGCATCGGGCCCAACCCTGTCATCAGGAAAACTAAGGCCCAATGATTTTGAATAACTTTACCAAGATCTGAGTCCTGGAAGCAAGTCTGCCTGACTTCCACCGAACCACACTTTCTTTAATACCAGTTCAGACAGGATCATCATTTAAATACCTACAATCCCAGGCAGTTCTCCCCTTGTATTCATTGACTGTATATATACCCCCCATGACCATGCTTTTCTTTCTTTAGTGCGCTTGAGTTCCCTCCTGCAAACATGGTATTCTATCTCCAGAGGACAGACTGGGAAGCTTTGATCTTCTGATGCTGGTTACAGAATTCAGGAGACACACGTACGATCTGTAGGGCCAAGGAAAGGCCCTCATAACCAGAAAGAGGTTGGGAGTCTCTAAGCAAGGGGAGGCATGGTTTCCTCTCCAGCCTCTGTCAGTGTCTTAGCAGCCATCTTCTTTTCCCTTGGATGGTAGGAAGACCAGGAAGCTAGAGCCAAGTCCTCCTGCCTTGGTCATTCCTAACTTCCACTCCTCCTCTCATTTAATTCATTAAAGGTCATTCACCTTTCAAAAATACGAAGCCATCCATTTAGTTGCTGGGTCTGTAAGGTACCGAGCAATGTAGAATTAACCAGACTGAAGGCAGAGGCAAGGAGCCAGTCTGTCTACTGAAAAGTGGCATGGCATCATGAATGACAGGAGCCCTGAAAGCGAATTCTCAGGTTCATCTCTGAGAGGGTAGATGTCTGTTTACTGTAAGCAGAGGTGATGATAAACTGTTGTATGTGTGATAACACATTTACACTTCAAAGATGCCTCCAAGGAGTTAATCGTATGTGTAGAACTTGAGACTCCAGAAGAGAGACTTGCTTTCAACCAGTTCGTTTTGGAGAAACACAGTCTGCCCCCAAATAGTAGCATCAGTTTAGCCAACAGGCATGTCATATGAAGTCACAGCCCCAAGGGGAACTTTTTTGCATTGCTTTCTTCGTTTTTCTTCATAAAATGTGAGCAAATCCCACATGGCTGTCCACGGCTATCTTATTGACACTGACTTTTCATAGTGATTACTGTTGGCCCATTATTCTTAGCACAGTGCTGTGGACTATGGGACTCAGCAATGGTACTGACAACTTCTGTGTTAGAACCA